CCATGGCCCATGCAGCCCCCCTCCCCCTACCATCCACCCCCTCGGCACGGTGTCCCTCTGGCTCACCTCTGGTTACCCACGGAGAACCCCTTGTCCTCCCCCACAGCTGAGGTTCCTCCTGGGGGTCCTGCCCCTTGCCTCTCCAATTTGGGGTTCCACGTATTGCTGCTGTGCTGGGGTTCCTCTTGCACCCGCCCATCACACCCCCGTTGCTGTTTTTGCTATGGAGACCCCAAATGGGCCTTAGGACTTTCCACAGAGGCTCTTTATGTTTCCCCCGTTGGGGGGATGTCTCTTTGTGCCACCCCAATCCCACCAGCTGGGGTTCTCCCACTCTGACTCCTTTGATCTGGGGACCCCTGAGATCCCTCAGCAAAGAGGTTCAACAGTGACCCCCTCACCCCCCCGCAGGGTTTTCCATACAGCCCCCCTGTAGCGGATTGCCGTTCAGCCCCCCCTCCCACTTGGGGGGTTCCCCATGGCCTCCCATGACCCCTGACTGGGCATTGGGGCACCCGGGGGCACTCCCTGCTGGGGTTGGTTGTAGCTGCAGGGGAGGGGCGAGAAATGAGAGACCTGGCACTGCAGGAAGTGGGGTGACACCAGGGGACCCAGTGCTTTGGGGTGGCACCAGGGAACCTGATTCTGTGGGGTGGCACAGGGAAACTAACATCATAGTGTGGCAGCAGGGGACCTGGGGCACTGTGAGGGATCTGGCACTATAGGAGGACACCAGGGGACCTGGCCCCGTGGAGTGGGAACAGGGGACACAGCACCCTGTCCGTGGAAGTGACACAGTGCAGGGGGCACAGATGCTGCCTTGTCCCAGTCCTTCAGCCCCGCGTCAAGGTGCCATCGGGGCAGGGGACATGGCAGCTGAGTGGAGCAGTGGCCCTGGTGTGGTGACCAGTGGCCCTGGTGTGGTGACCAGTGGCCCTGGCATGGTGACAACCTCCTCGATGCTCATGGTGAGCTCCATGGCCAGAGGCCAGCCCAGGAGCCACCGTCCCTCCTGACAGCACTGGGGTGGGGGAGTCTGGCTGTGCCAGGGGTCCGTGGCTTCTGGAGTCCCCAGGATGGGGAAGGGACACCCCTGGAGTCCCGGTCCTGCTCCTTGCACCCGCTGCTGTTGTCACCCTGTCTCTTAGCGCCGCCTGTCACCCCCTGCCCCGGGATCGCGTCCCTGGTTCCTGTCAGCTTCCATTGGAAAATAAATTGTTTCCTGGCGTCCTGGCTGCCAGCTCCTGCCTGCTCCTGCCAGCTCCTGCCTGCGCCTGCCAGCTCCTGCCTGCACTGCAGGCTGGGGACACAGGCTCCGGCACACAGACAGGCAGTGGGGCTGGGGCGGTGGCACTACCAAGGACATAGTGGTGTTGATCGTGGGATCAGAGCAAGCAGAGGCGTCAATCTGGGACCCCCAGCACCCATCCAGGACCCCCAGGCCCCATCCTGCGGGCATTTTCCTATAGGTTTCCCTGTCAGCTCATTGGATGCCGTAGGGAATAGTGGTACTGGAGCTCCTCACTGCGGGTGCTGGATGAGTGCTGGGCCATGCAGGTGGGTGGGGGGATGCCACGCAACCCCCTAGAACCCCCTGCCTGATGGCCTCCTCCCCACTGCCACAGGTTCCAGAAGCACGTCCACACCTACCGCATCCTGCCCGACGAGGAGGATTTCCTGGCCGTGCAGGTGGGCAGTGAGGGCACGGGACACCCTCTGGCTCGTGGGCAGCGAGGGGTCTCTGGCTCGGCGGGGCTCAATCTCGGCCTCGTGCCATGAGTGTGCCCGTCTCTTTGGCTGTGCCGGGCTGCTGTGCCGGGTGGATGTGCCGGGCTCAGCCCTGGCCTGGTGCCACGCGCGTGCCCGGCTGTGCCGGATGGCTTGGCTGTGCCTGTCTTGGCGGGCTGCCAGCTCCGGGTATTTTTAGAGCAACAGAACCCCCTTTGTGCCGGCCGGGCAGGCAGGAAAAGCCGCCCCCGGGAGGGAGGAGGCCGAAGGATGACTGCTGCCTGCACCCTGCCAGCCCACCTGCCAGCCCCCCGTGGGTGGCACCAGGGCACTGTGCCACATGCACTGGGCTCGGCTCCCCCCCATGGGCTGTGGGGTCAGCCCCCCATCCTGCTTGTGGGTCCCTGCATAGTGGCATCTCCGCATGGGAGGATTCCTGCATGGGAGTCTTTTTGTGGGGGGGGGCATCCCTCCGTGGTGGCATCTCTGCACAGTGGTATCTCTGCATGGCGACATCCCTGCATGGTGGAATCCCTGCATGGGGATGTCCCTCCTTGGAGATATCCTTGCATAGGGACATCTCTGCCTGGGGGTCCCTGCGTGGTGGCGTCCCTGCATGGTGGGTTCCCTGCCTGGTGGTGTCCCCACGCGGGGGTCCGGTGACGGTGGCTGCAGGCGCTGATGGCCCCGGTGTCCCCGTGTCCCCGCAGACGTCGCAGGGGGTGCAGGTGCGGCGCTTCAAGACGCTGAGCGAGCTAATCGCCCTGTACCTGCAGCCCAACCAGGGGCTGGTCTGCACCCTGCTCTTCCCTGTCGAGAGGGAGAAAGAGAAGGAGACCGTGGAGGACAGGGACTACTCGGGTATGGCAGGGTGACACCGGCGGGTGGGCGGGGTCCTGGGACCCCCGGGGTGGCGGGGATTGACCCCCTCATCGCCCTGTTGCAGATGGAGAGGATGAGAAGCCGCCGCTGCCACCACGCTCTGGCTCCACCAGCTTCTCCAGTACCTCGGCCGGGCTCAGCCCCACCAGCCTGGGACCAGCCGTGCCGGAGGGGCCGGCAGAGAGGTGAGGGTCTGCCCATCTCCTGAAGGTCCCCTGTCTGTCCCCTGCCCGTCCCCTGCCCATCCCTACCAGCTCTCACCCCCTGGGTGTCCTCCTCGCAGTGCCAACGGGCTCAGCAGCATCTCCCACGAGTACCTGAAGGGCAGCTACACCCTGGACCTGGAGGCAGTGAAGGGGGGGGCCAACAGCCTCCCCCACCTCAACAAGACCCTTGTCACCTCCTGCAAACGGCTGCACAGGTGGGTGCTGGGTGCTGGGACAGAGGGACAGATGGAGGGACATCTGTGTCACCCACTGAGCTGGCTCCTCTTGCCCCTGCAGTGAGGTGGACAAGGTGCTGGCAGGGCTGGAGATCCTCTCCAAAGTGTTTGACCAGCAGAGCTCCCCCATGGTTTCCAAGATCCTGCAGCAGGTGAGGGGGATATGGGGACACGGTGGTGGCAACCCACCACCATGGACTGTGCCCACAGACCCCACCGTAGCACCATCCATGGGTGGTGGGAAAGCCTGGGGAGAAACACCCACCATCCTGCCCCATCCCAGGGCGCCTGGGGGTCTTGTTACTCTGGGGCGGAACTGGGGTGGGTGTGGGGATCCCATCCCTGTGCTGGGGTTACCTCCTGGGGGTTCCAGACAGCAGGGCAGAGCGGGGAGCAGGAGCTGGAGAGCCTGGTGCTGAAGCTGTCTGTGCTGAAAGATTTCCTCTCCTCCATCGAGAAGAAGGTGAGGCTGGGGGTGTGCGGGGGATGTGTTCTCATGGGGGTGTCCTGAGGGATCTTTGGGGCTGATGGCACTGATGGGGCTGATGGTGGGACTGGACAGCTGACAGGGATTGTTGGGCTGGTGGAGCTGGGGGAGGCTCGTGGGAATGAGGCAACAGTGGGACTGGGGGCGGGGGCAGTGGAGCTGGGGCACTGGTAGGGCTGAGGGGGCTGGTGGATCTTGGGAGGCTGGGAGGGCTGAGGGTGCTTGGAACACTGGTGGGACTGGAGAGTTGGAGGGGTTGGTAGAGCTGGGGGGGCTGGTGGGCTCTCGGCTGATGCCASTGGGGGCTCTGGCAGGCACTGAAGGTCCTGCAGGAGATGAGCTCGGCTGCCCCCACTGCCCCCCCCCAGCCCCTGTCCCGCAAGGCCAAGAGCATCCCAGTGCAGACCTTCGAGGTGAGCCCAACCCTACCCTACCCCCCCTTCCTGAGTTTCAGAGTTCTGGGAGACTTCTGGCGTCAGCTGAGTGCACGTGGTGTAACACTGAGGGCACAGACCCCGAGGTGTCCCCAGCTGGAGTGCTGGGGTGTCCCCTTTGTCCTCCCTCATCCCAGTGTCCCCCGGCAGGTGAAGCTGGACATCACCCTGGGGGACCTGACCAAGATTGGGAAGTCACAGAAGTACACACTGAGTGTGGACGTGGAGGGGGGGAAGCTGGTGGTGCTGAAGAAGCAGAAGGACTCCCAGGAGGACTGGAACACCTTCACCCACGACAAGAGTGAGTGGGGAGGCACCCACGGGGCCCCCTGAGGCTGCCTTTGTGCTGGGGAGCGTCCCCGTGGGGCTCAGCGGTGGGCTGGGAGCTATGGGGTGTCCCCATCCTGGGGGTCCCCCAAAGCGTGGGCTGGGGGGGCTCCAGCACCCAGCTGGCACCCAGCACCCCCCAGCTCTCGCCACTCCTCCCCAGTCCGTCAGCTGATCAAGTCACAGCGAGTGCAGAACAAACTGGGCATCGTTTTTGAGAAGGAAAAGGATAAAACACAACGGAAAGACTTTGTTT